TTGTGGACTTCAACTCCCAGAGTTCCTCAGCCAACTTTGCTGGCTGAGGAACTCTGGGAGTTGAAGTCCACAAGTCTTAAAGTTGCCAAGGTTGGAGACCACTGCTTTAGAGCATGGGTGTCAAACTCGATTTCATTGAGGGACGCATTAGGTTTGTGTTTGACCTTGGGGTGCGTGTGGCCAGGGGGGCATGGCCAGCTCGACGTCACTTGTCTCGGGGGTACCTGTGGTGGCCAAGGGCTAAGGCAGGACTTCCCTCAGACACCCCTTCACTCTCATTATAATTTCCTTCCTTCCTTCCCTTCTTTTTCCTTCCCTCTTCCTTCTCCTTTCTTCTTCCTTCCCCTCGTTCCTTATTTTTCCTTCCTTGCTCTCTTCCCATCTTTTTCTTTGCCTTTCCTCCTTCTCCTTTCTCCTCAAATGCAAAAGGGGAAACATTTCTCCTTTGGTTTTGTTTTTAAGTTTATTTGCTAACCCTCTGCCAATGAAAACCGAGCCCTGGAGGGGCATATGTGGCCCTACCAAGCTCAGTTTTCACTGGCAGAGGCACTGTGGGCTGGCCCTTTGCGGTTTCCATGGTGGCTCCACGGGCCAGATCGAAGCGCCCCGCGGGCCGGATTTGCGCCACGGGCCTTGAGTTTGACACCCCTGCTTTAGAGAAATAGAAAAGAGAGAATAGAGTAGTAGCATGCCTTTCTGCAACTAGGAGCCCTCCAACTTATCTGAGCCTGTAAACCGTCCAATTCCTGCCATTAGGAATTGTGGTCAAACTTATCTAGAAGGTAATGACATCCAGAAGACCCCTGTAGGGGAACCACAGTTCTGTGAATTTTGGTATTATTATGACTATTTTGCTCCCTGGAAAAGCCAGTGCTTAAAAATATTGAGAAAGTGAGAGAGAAACATGCAAGAAACAGCAAATGACAGCATTTGTAGCCCGTAAAAAGAATGGTTATCTCCTGGGACATAAATCTCTTGCCGTACTAGGAAACCAGGCAGGAATGCAGTGAAAGCTGCCAAAGAGTGGAAGAAGAATAGGGTCCTTATTTTGTATATTAAACAGATACTAAATCAAAAGCTCATTCCAGCTCATTTCCGGTGATTTATGGAAATTGGTCAAGTTTTGCCGATTTGCTTATTTAAAAGAACTTAATTTATTGGGGAAGCTGTTGGGTCAATGACCTTCTTCCTATAATTTAAGACACCAAAGGAAGCATTAATGATAGCTTATGCCGAGATTGCCTGTGCACATAGTATGCAAACTGCCATTCCTATATATCTCAACAGAAAACAAGGAACATTTTGCCTTCTTCTGTTATTACTTTAATAACAGAAACTTAAGGAATAGAAAAACTTATTCCAACAAACACAAAAACATTTTATCTAGCATTTTAAGTATAGCATTACAGATGATTAGTGAAACACAGTAGCTCCTAAAGTCATCTGCTATTTACCGAGAAATCTGGATTATTTGTCGTCTGGAGATTTGAATGAAGCTCTTCACTGGCGGTGGGGTTACATAATTATAAATGTTGTGCTGATATCAACAGACTTAGCCACTTAATTCTTTCTTTCCTAATTCCAAAGGATTTATGAACAAGTTAAAAATGGAAGTCGTTGGGGGATTCCAATGTTTATTTCCATCCACTGTGAAAATTGCTTCATGGACCTTATACTTTTCAGTAGTAGCTCCGACCCTTTGGAACGATCTCCCCGTGGAGATTCGTACCCTCACCACCCTCCAGACCTTCCGCACAGCCCTCA